TATACTTAAAATTTCTTTAAATGTAATCAAGTTGTTGCTAATAAAAACGAAATAGTTGCAAGGATAAGCTAAATGAGCGTTTGGCTTTCAGGGTCGCCTAGCCAAGAGACGAATTAGAAATAATAGGTAAATAGAAAGAAAAAAGCCTACCAGCCATAGAGTCTGTCACTGAGATCTCAAGGTCCGTACAATGTAGCGTGCCAGAGGGAATAGATGTAGGTAGAGTTGCTAAGTTTGTAACTGCGTGAGGAAGGAGTAAATCTGATTCAGTTTGTTGAAATGGGCTAGAAATTGAACCGCATAATCTATTCATCGAGATCTGGGGTAAAACAGGTAGCTCACTGGATGGCTGGATAGCCAAATGGGAGGCTTTTGTTTATAGTAAATATTTGATAAAGTACAAATAAGAGAAATTTAGACTTTAAATTAATTAAAATTAAAATTGCGAAAAAATGAAATGCATTAAGAAGTCAGATATAAGGCCTTATATATATATATATATATATATAGTAAGAAGCGGACTAATGTAACACTAATGTCATAAATAAAAAGACATCTAAGGCTTATAGAATTTATATTAAATAGAGTATTCATAATAAACGTTTTGAGTGAATTTTTTATATAAAGAGGGTTTTCATTTCAATGCTAAATCGGTGGGATTAAAATTAGCAGTCTTTGAAATAATTCCTTATTTAAACTAGAGATAAACAATGTAAAAATAAATAGCATATGAATAAAAAACAGGAATACCAAAAGTAATCTACCCATTTGTGTTGCAGTAGTTACACGTAAAGTTCAATAAAAATAAAAATCTCACTCAACCTTAATGCTGAATATTCAAATTAGGAGATAAGCTAAGAAAAAATTGTAAAAATTAGCTTATTCAGGTAAAAAATGTCAAAAGAAAACCAAGGATTTAAGGCGATAAATAAGAGCGGCTTCTGAAAAGATTACCTCCATCATTGCCTACCAAGTCAGGAGAAAAAAATTAAATCTTTATCTTTGGATTGTATACGTAATGACGTTTAACAGACAAATAAAAGAGAAAATTGGCGATGGTTGAAGTAATAATGGATGCATCTGCAGAAATAGAAAGATAAATAAGGGAATGAAAGGAAACATTAAACGATCGCATAAGAATACTATTATTACTTGTTTTTTATATGGTTCCAAACAATTTGGCCCAAATTAGTATACATTTCAAGTCACGTTTGTATGCTAATAAATAGATCGTACAGACTGCTTATTATCACCCATAATAAAGCATCCTTCATAAATCTAAGTTTATTTTCAACAAAAAAATCTGCTTATCAACAGTTGAAAAACTGGGGTAGAAAACATATGCAAATTGATCATCGCCATAGAGATAACATCTAATCCATCAGAAATAGCAGTAAATTATTCACATGTTAAAGATCAGGTATAATTTTGAAATATGAATCAAAATTAGATCGATGCATGCTAAATATCGATATATCAAGAAAGCTTATTCATAATATAAAAAATTAGCTAAATTGTCTAAACATATGTATTTATATATATATATATATATATTCCTATTTTTCTTATTGTTTGTTTTCATATTAGTTTTTCTATTAAACACACGTGGCCTTTCCTTTCCATATATATATATATATATATATATATATATAGGCTGGAATGTAAATGCAGTGTTTAAAAGAAAAAAAAATAAGAAAATTTATTTCACCTGTTAATAAAGCGGGATGATACTAAATGAGAATGCCGTCCACGAGAAATTTGTAAAAATAAGGTAAACCAACCAAACAAAGCGAAAGGAGACTACAGCCAAACCACAGGTAACTGTATCTTACTTTTCGTATCGATGAAGAGTAGTTGAAATATACTCAATTCCAAATCATGGATTCAAGATTCTAAATAGTATTACAAACGCAATAATAAAAATGATAAGAGAGAATTATTTAGAAATGAACAAACTTCAGTAAAGCTAAAGCTTAAGAGAAAAATATATAAAAATATTAACCTAAAAGTAAGCATAGCATATAGCGTAAACGAAGTATGCCACTCACCAAATTTTATCAGGGCTTCTGTATGCTCATTAGATCCACACTGCGAAGAGCTTACTAACTCTAACTTTGAACAGCCCTCGTTGGCCTCCATTCGAAAGCGATGCTGATCGTTTACAATATCAGAGAAAAGGTTCTGGGGTCTGCATGTTTCAGCTACAGGTCCGATGCAAACATCAGTGTCGCTGGGAATCTGGTCAGAATATCCAAACTGACCGCAAATGTTTTCATTTCCAAGACAGGTAAGATTAGACTGACCAGAAAATGAGACTTCGAGTAAGTGTAGCAAACTAGATGTACTCGATTCGTCTACATCAACTGCATCGGAGGTCGCAATATGCGTAGGAGTTGGACGCGAAGATGCAGAGGCAAGAGCTGTTACGGGAAGTTTCTATATAGAAAAAAGAAGGTGAGTAAAGGATAACATCCCGAACCAGATGTTTAATTGTCTATTCGATGAGTCGTCTAAGCAATTAATTTTTGGAAAGACAGAGAAGTTGAGGGCTTGTTTTTATCACAGAAATACTCTATATTATAAAAATTACAAAAAAAATTTTATTATCCACGTTTGACGGTAGTTCGAGGGCGAACTAAGGCGTTGGCTAATGGATAAGCAGGTTAAACTCCCTACTACATGCCTTCTATGAAGGTCTAGTTGGAGGATACTAAATATGTTCAAGGTAAAAGAGAGCTGGGTCAAATCATCTATATATGGGGTGTATTCATCTTATTTCGTCTAGGGTGATAAAGGACTGGTAGTTGACGTTTCCCGCAACGATATGAGTATCCCTTATGTTTCCATTGAATTTCACATAGACTTGCTTCCCAAAGGACATTTTTATCCAGGATCGACAGAGGTTTTGACCTCGCCTAGATATTAGGATTCGAAACATGACATGCTAACGACTACGTCACATAGTCACGAATACCCTTGGATGAAAAGGCAAATGTGAATTCCGAAGAAGATTTATATTACATTCTGTAGCGAGAATGTCGATGAAGCAAAGTTGCATTTACAACAGATAAGAAGGAAATGTGAATTTAGAGGAATTTCCTGAGATAAAATTGTCGTGAAAACTTTCATTTCGTATGAAAGGGCAAAAAGAAGTCAAGTCTTCTCGACTAAGTGTTAACTTAAGTATTTTGCAGGAATGAATCCTAGCTCTGAGGATGTTTGACACTTGACGAACGAAAGCACAACCCACCTTCGCCCCAAAAGTTGGAGGATGCCTGATGAATTATAACATAAACGTCGTATTAAAGCCAAACGGCTGCTGTATAATAGTTATCAACCCACGTCTTCTGGTAAGATTGACCTATGCACCTCTTCATCATGCATTTCCATACAAGATTAAAGTATTCACAGCAATTGTACATGCTATAGCGATCGACTACCTTGCTTATTTTTCTAAGTAGGTTTTAGAGATGTAATATTCGATTGCTATAATCTGCTTCATCGATAATCCGAGCACACAATGTAATATAGAAAATGCCTGTCCTTCAATAAAATTCAAATAGGCCCTGTGGCTCAAGCGAACTCGTGGGAATGTTGTGTAGTCGTTAACGAGTCAAGCTCACATGCAGAACTGTCACGATTCGACTCCCGATGGTGGTGTTGATAAGACCTAGGCGGGGTCGAAACTGCAGCCCACCCTGGATGAGAACGTCTTTTGGTAAGTAAGGCTATGTGAACTTCAATAAAAACCTAAGGTCTATGCATAGCATTGTGGGAAAATTCAACTACCAATCAAATTATCCCCTCATATAAACGATTTAATTGTGGTTTCTAAAACCTACTTATAAACGAAAAACCACCTTTATTAAAGAAAATTGAGAAATCAAGGATGCAGTTTTCAGTAAACAACATATTATATTATAATGATAAGTACAAATATGATAGCATCGAAAAAGTATAAGTCATGAGATATGAGATGGCAAATTATAGGCCAAATAACAAATCATCTCAAAATACACCCTATTTTCGGTGTGGAAAAATAACAAAATACTAATAAATAATGGACCAAAATTTGAAGTTATAGTTGATGTAACCTTTTTTAGGCCACAGTCATCTAGTAGCAAAAACAAGGTCAAATCCCCACAAAAAATTATGGTTTTCCAGTAACTTATATAAATGAATAAAGAAACAAACCTAAGTACGCACTTTGAAATAGTTAATTAAGATTAAAGTTGTAATTTAAATTGAACAGTAGGCAAACCTGCATAAAAGCTTGACGGCGTAATAAAAAATAATATAAGCATCCATCAGATTAATAATGGTATTTATCTAATAAATAGTTATCTAATAAAAATGAAATAAGGACAGAAAGCAAGACAGAGATATAATGTCAAATGAATATCCAATTATGTACAAAAAGCAAGGGATTTAGATCAGAGATACACGATTTATATATGCATAGTTGTAGCTTACATTGCATATTTATAAGATCCTCTATCAGGAAAGTAACAAAAAAGATACTAAAAGCCAATTTATCATCTACTCGATAAATAAAGTCGACCAGGTGTTTCGCTTTGCGAGTGGGTGGTTATTTCGTTTCATTCCTTTAACCGAATGGCGTCCTATTTTGCTATGAAAGAAGAGAGTGATACCATGGCTTAGTGCCAGTTGATAGACTAGTTGCATGTTGAAATGGAATCAGATATCGTGCTTTAATGAGT